TATACTCGCTTCTATGACTGTTTAAGTATTGTTGGCACACGATTTCTGTAGAAATAGAAAATACTTCTTCATTTGTCAGCAAATTGATTCTGTATCAATCATCCAACTGGCGAAATTCACCTCTTCTAAGAATGGCTCTCCCATCCATCCATTTGCACGAATTGTTGGCAAGTGTAAAATTGTGGGCAAGGTAGTTTGTCATATGTAAGAATAGTTATAAATAGGTCAAACGAGAGGCTGGATGAGGTGACGAAGTTCGAAAGATTTAAGCAGCTGATAGTTCGAAGGCTTGGGAGTCAAGTTGGGTACATGAAACGACAGCAGCCGGCTGGCTTTAGACATTACCAACGGTCTATTCCAATTGTATGCTGCCCTGCATAAATTAAGTTAAGGCCGACCAAATATGTCAATTGCCCCAGTAGTTTCTTAAATTGTGTTTAGGTTACTAATTTTGGGACTTTAAAAGATGTAAATTTGCCACAAATCATAGCTTATCTCGAGATGGTTGCATCAGGAGGGAGCAGGAGATTGTGGCCATTTCACTCTTTGGGATTTCATATACAATTATTTATTTTAAGTTCTCTCTGATGTTCTGCTTGAGCCAATGCTGTGGAGGATGTGGATGACCAAACGAGCCAAGCTTGTAAACTTGAAGAATTCGATGAATAGCCCTCATTTTCTACCTTATCTTTAGGTCTCTAACGCAGACTATATTGATAGCTGAGTCAACCTAGTCCACTTAAGATGATGTAAAGATTTATCCTGTCCTTCACACAATGAAATGCGTAGAAGCCCGTAGTATTAAGTCAGAGAGTTCCATTTAGCCTTGTCTACCAAATATTTTTCTCGTTCAGGCCGGACTGCGGTTTTTATCCCACTTCGTTCACATCAGTGCCCACAAGGCGATTTCATTTTATTTGACCCTAGTTATTGTAAAAAGCCCACTAAATGTTTCAAAGTCTACTTACTACTTTCACAATAGTAGTTCGGCTTATCGACAACTAGCTCGTTACAAATGTGAACCGCGACGGATCCGGATATTCCATCAAGATCATATCTGTCCCTGGCTCTGTATTAGAGCGGCAACGTTACCGCCTGACTCGGCTTTGAATTCCACTATGGGGTATGATAAGACGCAGGTGAGGTCGAGTCTTCCTTTTTGCCCTGAAAAATTGAAATTCAGTGACTTCAACGAGGCATTCACTTATTTCAGCGTTTCATACCTGAGATGATTTGGGCTATTGGAAAAGGCGTATTGCTGCTTTCAACGAATGTTGGAGAATGAAATGTTTAAAATGACAAAGTATCTCCTAACTACAATCATGCATGCCTTGTTACATTAGAGATTCCCTGATTCTGCTTACTGAAATCCCGGCATTCTGTTCAAACTTGTGTATACACGCTCATGAGGCGTGGCTCGGTAGCAGCTGCCATGCCCTAAGTTACCGTGACCTATTCTACACATGTTTACGCCGTTCCTTATCATAGACGCTTTGACGGTTCGCGACTACAAGTTACCCCACGACTGTGTTATAGACTTTGTAAGCAAACAAGAAGAACAATGTCATAAAGGGAGGTTTGGCGTTGGGCTAATTTTACAGGATGGAAATGAGGGCAAAATCTGTAGGTTCGGCTGTTCCGCATAGCGAAGGCCCAATTTTATCCCTACAACTGCTACAAAAGTTTCGTCTAACTTCGGCCAATCCACAAGCAGTCGAAGTTCTCCATGCACAGCCGGAATTACCGTTGGATGGCAATACCAACTTTGTGTCACTTGGCCCACTCGATTTGGCCTTCCGACACACTTTCCGCCTGGCGACTTTTTGCCACGCAACACAGTGAAATCCATCCAAAAAGCAGGCCCTGGCTTCAATTTATCGTTTTAGTTATCCTTTTATTTGCACCAAACAAACAATGATCCACATTTTTCTACGGAAATAGGCCGAAAACGGCATGAACTCTTAGATATGAAGAAAAACAGGGTTTTGAAGAGTCCTTTAGTCATATATTGTGACATGACTCTCCATTTCGAAGGGAAAGTTGGTAGGACGTAATTCGTGATGTGGCCTCACCCGAAACCGAAGGAGGATTATCGCATCCTGCGAACCCCGCAGGATGATGAATCGAGGACTTCTTTGCACAATTAAGAAGTCTTCCCTACGCGGAAATCTTACTTTGGTTTCTGGGAAAGCTATATTACAAATTCCTTCTAACAAACTTTTCCTTCGAAATTGAAAGGCATGATCTCGGCCTGTAGTTGTCCTTCTCCAAGAGAGTACACAGAGCTGCATATTCCTGCTAAAGCACGGTGATTTCGGTTTTGCTGACCAACTTTTGACCTGGAGCTGCATTCAAGGCTCATAATTTGAGGATTGTGGGGCACTCTTCGAGTTTTATTAACATATTCTCATCCTATTTTAGACAAGCCGTAGGGGACATGTTAACCCATGCAGTACCTCGCAGCCTTAATCGGAGTGTATCTGACCTCTTAAACCAAGGTAAAAATTTTGCTAAACATGAGTAACACAGAATGTGCAGAATTCATCTTTTTGTACATTTCATTTTGTCTTAAAAGTCAAGTGGTGCAAGAACACGAATTTATTAACGGTTTCTTCAAAAATAAGCATCGCTTAGAGTGATGTAGTATTGATAGATAAAATCTTTCTACAATACTATGAGTGGGCCTCACAATGTCACTGAACTACACCCAGTTTTGCATCCCAAAAGGTATTATTATACAGGATGATCTGCAGCTTCGAACTCGGGAAGTACGGCGTACAATTTCGGCCTGCCAAAAGGGCCAAAATGGAAGTACAATTCGAGGTAATCTAAGCTTATCCTAAGTCGTATTTTTTAGTGGGATTGTCAATGAAGCGAACGAGTGTTCGATACATTACTTCATTTCAGAAAGAGTAGGTTACAAAACCCTCACTAGTTCTTAACTGGAAAATCTAGTTAAAAATAAAGATAAGTCAAATGTTTTGTCTTTAGATCCGATAAAAATCAACGAAATGACACAATTCGATAGATCTAAACTAATCACCTCTAGAAACTAGCCTACCCTATGCTTTAGGCTAGGACTTAGTGCACATGATTCGCTTTCAAGGGACGATTCCGATTGCATTTTGATGTCTGAATGAGGAAAAGCCTGGAGCGTTATGTCCTCGTAGCTTAATAATGCCCAGCTCTTACAAATATGCATATATTCTTGCGTGTAAGTGTGTCTGTATATGTCTGTGCTTGAGTGATTAATGTAGTCAGGGCACTTATATGATTTAATTATAAGTGAGAAATTATTCGGAGAATCTAAAACTATATTGATATTCATGCTAAAATCCCAAAGGAGTACACACTACTCCTATACTCTCGTGCGACGATACGAATGTCTCAATAAAAGTCTTCAAAATCCATTGAAGAAGATGTTGACTCTGACTTAGTAGCGAAGCTTGAATTGCACAGAGTCGCAAGCATGCTGCGATGACACATAAAATAACCAAGAGGGCATCACTACGCCAATGTCGCCTTCACTTCACTCAATCTACTAACCTGCGTTGGCGTTCTCGAATCTAGCTTTTCTTCCATAAAAGAACTTAGTTTACGTCCTTATTCCGTACGCAAACGGCAGCAGTCAGGCATACATCCACCAATTTTCTAAATCCATTTTCACAACTGCTTAGTCATCTCGTGTCCGCACAATTAAAATGAATCTACTTCCTCGAAAATGGCGCAATCTCCTCCCAAATAAATCTTCTCAAAGGCATATGCAACACCTTTGAACACGATTTTTATCTAAATTTCTTGCAACAAGCCGATAAATAAACAATTCTTGTCGTCTGGATAGAAACGAGTCCTGTTGGTTTGTGTACTGTGTTGATGGCGAAAATTCGTATGCTCAATTAAAGAGAAGGCTTAATTGTGCTCATGATTTCGCCTCGGGACACTTCCAAACAAGCCTTTCTAGTTCAAGTCTTATGATCTCGCCAGTTGCCCGGCTTGATTTTAACCGAAAGCATATCTCCGAAACCATACGACAAAATATCTTATTTAAATTTACAACCCTAACATCTATCAGCCTGCTGATAGCTTTGAAGCAGGCTAGCTGATACCAACTACATAAAGGGGTAGTAGATCGAGTTTAATGACAAACAGAGGTCTCAATCTTCCCTACTGTTAACATGTGGCTTGTGAGGCAAATAGTCTTCCCTTTAGTCCATACCCTAACGCTTTAAATTTCGTTAAGGGGGCCGACAATACGATGAGAAAGATTCGAAACTCTACTCCAGAATGAACGAGCATGACCCTTTGTAATGACATTCATTTCGAAACTCAAGCAGTCTCTTCAATTTTTCATGAGCGTTCTCGTTGTCAGCTCATTAACAAGCCAACTGGAACTGGCTTACTTCGGCAACAATAAGTCTCTTGATAGAATTAGAAGTAAAAATCTGTTACTTACTATTCAAATAGATCTTTCCATCCGAGAAATGTACCCTCCCCTTAGTTTTCAATGTCTTGCCATTACTAATATTAGCTTAGTTGCATTTGATTGTCCGTAGCTTTGAGTATAGACTGATAAATTACTTTACTTTCTACCAAATCTTTTCAACTATTGTTTGGCTATATTT